TTTAATTTGACTACATCAAGGAACATCTGTCTCTAAATAAGGTTACATTGTGAGGTACTTGGGATTAAGATTTCAACATATCTTCTTTAGAGGAACACAATCCATCCCTTTCTCCATGACTATAACATGCCCCTTTTGCCATCATCTCAGGGATTCCTATTGTCCATGTTCATATTCTTGAGTTTGTCCCATAAACCTCTAAAGTTTTGTTCATTTTTTTAAATTGTTTTTTTCTGTTTCCCAGACTACATAAAGTCAATTGACATATATTCAAATTTACCAATTCTTCAGCCTGTTTAAATCATCTATGAAGCCCTTCTCATGAATTTTTCATTTCTTTTTATTTATTTTTTATTTTTGTAGCTAATTTTATTTTTTAATTTTTTTAAAATTTTATTTTTGTTTAAAATATTATAGATGTCCCTTTTTCTCCCCAATGACCCATTCCACCCCATCCCATCCCTCTCCCCAGTCCCTCTCCCCACCATTGTCCGTGTCCTTGGGTTAACATCAGAATTCTATTTGATTCTTTAAATTTTCAATCTATTGATATTCTGAATTTGGTGACATAATTTTCATACTTTCTTGTAACCCTTTAAATATGGTTTCATTTAGTTATTTGAATATATATAATAGTTGATTTAATGTTTCTGTCTATTGGGCTTCCCTAGGGACAGTTTCTACTTATTGCTTTCTCCCTCTGTACAAACCATATTTTCCTATTTCTTTGTGCATTTCATACATTTTTAAAATAGAAATTTCAAGTAATAATAGAGCCACTATGGAAAACAAATCCCCCACATGGTTTTTTGTTTGTTTCTGATATTTGTTATTGTTGTTACTGTTACTGATTATTTAGTGTTTCTTTGACTAATTATACAAATGCTTTATTCTTTGTCATTTGTGGCCACTGAAGTATTTTAGCTTACATCTTTAAGTGCCTTGAACCAATAGGTTTTCAGTCTTTGCCAATGGGCTCGGTGAGTGTGTTGGAGAATACTTAAATGATCTGGCACATAGTTTAGAACACTGATTTGATCTGTACTTCCTGCTTGTGTAGAGCCTCAAGGTCAGTCTGAGGTGAGAGCTTGGTAGCAAATGGCCCTAGGTGCCAATTAACATTTAATTTCAAGATCCCAGATTTTTCTTGGGCTGATGCACAGCCCTTCTCATACACATGACCTTTTAGAGTCCCTGAAATCTGCTGCAGCATTATTTATAATAGCCAAAATATGGAAGGAAGCTAGGTGTTTATTGATAGATGAATGGATAAAGAAGATGTGATATATATATACACAATGAAATATTATGCAAGAAAAAAAGAATGAAATCATGCTATTTGTGACCACATGGATGGATCTAGAGAGTGTTATGCTAAGTGAAATAAGACAAATACCATATAGTTTGGCTTATATGTAGAATCTAGAAACAAAACCAACCAACCAACAAAACAAAAGCAGGCTCATAGAAACAAAGACCAAGGAATGGTTTCCAGAATGGAGGGGGTAGGGAATGGGTAAAAGGGGGAAGGGGTATATAGTTAATAATATCGTGAAAACTTTGCACAATGACAGATGATTACTAGAATTAGTGGGGTGATCACATTGTAAGGTATAAAAATGTCGAACTATATTGTAAGCCTGAAACTAATATAACCAATATAAGATTGCATACCAAGTATAGTTAAATAAAAAAATAAATGGGGGACTTCTGTAATACTCTCAACAACAAAAAATTAATAAAGAAATAAATAACCAAAAAACCCCAGAAACAATTATAATATAATCTAAAAAATAAAGGTAATTTTCTTACCCCACATACATAGATCTCATTTTTGAGCTTCGATTCATCTGATCATGTGTGACTTTTTGTTTTACCTGGGAGTGTATCTTATAAATAAGTAACAGTAAATACTAACTAATGAATTCCTGAGTGAGGTCATGGCATGCCTAGTATTAGGAACAAATAAGGCACTGAGATAAGATTTCTGATTTGGTTTCTGGGCTAAAATTAGACCTTTCTTGAGAGGCACATGATGCAAAAATTGCCTTAGAGAAGAAAGAGATTAAAATGATGTTACTATTTGTATACCTGTGCTATACCTCAATGGAAAAAAAGTCTAAGGGGATGATAGGAGTTTAAAATGTAGGGTAAAGCCCTTTTTACATGAATCCTATCTTAGAGCATGCCAAGCATCTCAAACCAAAACCTTTTCTCATCATTCTCACTTGTTCTCCTCACAGATATTTAGTATTGAAATGTATTTCCTCATTCCCAGCATTTCTGATCTTCTGACTCTCATTTTTAATTTTCCCTTTTCTACTTCACTTATAATCTCATAAAAACATAATTATATGACTTTTTATTATCTTTTACAATTTCTCCTCTCCCTCCACTGTAATTTAAGCTGTACAAGGGGGGAGCTTTTTTTCTTTACCGATATAGCTCAAATGCACAACAATGCCTAATATATGATACATGCTTAGCAAGTATTTACTGAATGAATAAATGGATGAATATATTAAAATGTGGATTTCTTTCTTTTTAAAAGAATGGTTTATTGATTTTCAGAGAGAGAGGAAGAGAGAGAAAGAGAAGCATCAATGTGGAAGTGCAACATCGATGGCTGCCTCCCACAACCCGGGCATGTGCTCTTGACCATGAATAGAACCGGTAACCTCCTGGTGCACAGGAGGACCCACTGAGCCACACCGGCCAGGGTAAAAGTGGGATTTTTTGTCATACCTTTGACTGGATGCACTTTTGCCAATAGGAGCCATTTCAGGGTATAATTAGTACTTAGCCAGTGTGGGATGTATGTTTGACATTCACTCAATCTTTGACAAATGAATGGAAAATACTGATTGATAGAAATAGGAGTCTTCATCTGAGTCTAATTTAGCATATCTAAATGTACGTCTAAATTATCATGACAATTTTACTGTCAGGGCCACTAGTTTATATTCTATGTGGTAGGCCTACTACTATCACATACTAGCTCTTAGCCTAAATTTTTCATCTGCAACCATCTGTTTTACCTCTAATTGATTTATCTATCTATGACAGAGATCCTATAACTATTTTTTCAAGTGTACAACTTAACAAAACATCATCTGCACACTGTATTGTGCCCTCATTACCCAAAGTAAGAGCCTTGAACTCTTAATAGCTTTTATATTTGCCAACAATTGTGTCCCGGGCCATATTCTTTCTGAGCTCCTCTGTGAAAGTATTGCCTCACCATTTTGTCCATGTACATTTTACAAAGAAAAACCACAGTATTTCTACTATTGTTACTTTGGTTTTGTCTAAAGAGCTAGTCTTAGAATCTACCAATAAGTAGGTCCCTGACACTTGATTACAGCCTACTTTTCTCTATCATGTGTTCCAGTATTTTAGAAATATTTCCTATTTGTGTGGAAATGGGAAAACAGAAATCATTCCCTTTGGTTCCTTCTGCTTTTCCAGTTGTCAGATTGGCAAATTACCCCTTACATAAAAATTCCCAAGCAGTTGTGCCACTCAATTACACATCATAAAAGTTGCTATTGCTAACTCCCCTCACAGAACAGGGAATGACAAGCATGAGACCACAAGTATTGGTGGAGAGTATATTAATTCCCTAGAATTGCTTAAATGTAAAAGGATAAAGAATTCTAAAATCAGAAATTAAATGTTAATTGGCACCTAGGGCCATCTGCTACCAAGCCTTTAAAATGCTTTAAACATGATGGTTCTTGCCACCTAATAATGATCACAAAAGCGGTTTGGCTCCCTTTCTAAGTAGTAAAACAAGCCTGGTTAACTGCAAGTTGTATGACTGTAGGTATAGAAGAGAAACAGGAAGCAGTCCACCAACAGAGTTGTTTTTTTTTTAATTTATTGATTTTTAGAGAGAGGGGGAGAGAGAGAAACACCAACGGAAGAGTAAAACATCAATTGGCTGCCTCCTGCATGCCTCGACCTGGGATTGAGCCCCCAACCTGGGCATGTGCCCTAATAAGGAATCAAACCAGCAACCTTTTGGTGCACAGGACAATGCCCAAGCAACTGAGCCACACCAACCAGGGCCAACAGTGATTCTTAATGAGGACTATATTACCTCTTAGTGGGCTTTTTGGAAATGTGTAGGACATGTATTTTGGTTATAATGATGGAGATTTCATGCTGTATTTAGTGGGTGGAGGTTAGGAAGTTTAGATGCCCTGCAGTTTTCAGATACACAGCAAAGACTTTATGATATGCATGACTTCCAACTATATTCATTTACTCATATAAGAATAAACCTGTTTAAAATTAATTGAACCTAGAACCTACTGGTTTGGGGGGGCATGGATTTCATATACATGGAATTTTTACAATTCAAGTCTTGGTAAGGTGCAGTGCAAATCACCTTGAATAAAAAAAAAAAAATAATAGGAAAAAACTGATGATCTGAGCTGTTTTTTTCTGACATATCACAGTTTAGGCTACCAGGTTGAATTATTGAGATTTTATTTGAATGTAACTTTAAAACAATAAAAATAACTTTAAAGAACATAAAACAAAACAGGATTTTACATTTGAACATACACAGAATGGAAGGTAATAAAAGTTAGGTAATATTTCAAATAGAGGCAATCCAGATGTGTCACATTTCCTCTCCATAACAAATGAGGAGTGGTTGAGCTTTAATCCAGTTTCTGGTTCCAGGCTGTTAAATCAGCACAAAGCTTTAAAAAGTGATTTCTTCCATCTCTCAATCCCCATATTGCCTATTTCCATAGCATCAGCCACAACCTTTGCACTTCAACAGTGTTATGATGTTGGGCCCCACTAAGTTCTCTGCTTTACCTCCCACAGCCTTTATTATTTGTACCAAACATGTTAACACTTGACTACATCCTACCTTGCTTGTTCTTCTTATTTCATTTATTGATTTGGGGGCGGGGGGGGATATCGATTTGTTGTTCCACTTATTTATGCATTCATTGGTTGATTCTTGTATGTGCTCTGACCAGGGATCAAACTTGGAACCATGATGGATTGGGACGACACTCTAACCAACCGAGCTACCTGGCCAAGGCTATCTTGTTCTTCTAATGATTCATATTTGTCTATTTTTCTCTTATGCTTAACTAAACTCTCTTTAAGGGCTCTTGTGACACATTATTTTCAAAGAAAATATTGATGCTACTTGTATTATCAAGAGGGTTTAAACAGGAATGTGAATATGGATGTCAATATATGTGGATGGCCTGGGATCTGATACATTTGGGAAATGGGACTGGCCACAGTTCTGTAGGAATTGTTTTGGGAAATTACCCAAAGTTAGAGAGCAATTCTTAGAAAACTCCAAAGAATACTGGATAAAGAGAAAAGGCAGAGATATTAATTAAGGTGGCTATCAGGTTTGACCTTTATCCTCTACTGCTGTATTTTACTTTATTGATGGAGGCTTGAATTATATTTGAGCAGTGATGTGTTAACCCCCATATAAATGTGTGATGATGGGATCTCAGGGATATCACTTTCCTACTTCTTTTTATATTATTTTAGTTTATACATTGGGGGGTTGCTATATTTCTGCACCAATTCCTTAAGCTGCTATCCTTATTATGTTGACAGTGTTTCTAAGTAACAAATACTTGTGCTTTTGATGCAGTAGTCCAGATATTTAGAAAACTCACACATAGGCACATTTATTTATTTATAAATATTCGTTGGAAATTGTGGCACAAAACATGCATATTGATAATGATACCACACAAGACTCAATTCATATTATGTTAGTGAAAAGAAGAATTACTGGAGATTTCTCTGGAAGCAGAAGAGGTGAGAAAAATCTTGATTTTGCTTCTTATCTCTGCTCCTTCCTGACGTTGACACATGGGTATTTAATAGAAACCTCAAATTGTCTGAAAATAAGCCTCTATTATTTCCTCTCAATTCCAAACCAGCTACTTCTGCTGTCTTCCCAACCTGTAGGTAACCAATTCTTGTGCTTTTGACAATAACAGTCCAGAAAATTAGAATGTATATATTAATGATTGATTATTCTATTTTACATATAATCATTTTGCAAATCAAACCCTTAGTGTCTTCCTTTTCTCTTTCTCTCACACTACACGTCCAAAGTGGCAGCAAATCCTGTCAGTTCTGTCTTAAAAATAGATTTAGAATTTAATGACTTCTTGCCACTGACACAGCCATAAACTTAATTCAAGCAACCATCATCAGTTGCTTGGATTATATACTAGTCTCCTAACTGGTATTTCTGCTTCTGACCTTGACCTCATGCCATCTTTTTTCAACAACAACAACAACAAAAACAAAGTAAACTTGTTAAAACATAAATAAGATCATGTTACTTCTCTGCTCAAAACTGTTCAATGGATTTCCATCTCACTTGTGTCACTCAGTGTAAAAGCCAGAGTCTGTATTAAGATTTATAAAGCCCTACATGACCTGGCTCCATTATTTCTCTGATTTTGTTTATTACTGCTCTCGTATTATTCATATTCAGCCATATTGGGATCCTTGCTGTGCCACAAATACCCCAGGCAGGCTCTCACCTCATAGTTATTGCACTTTCTATTCTCTCTACTATAATGTTCTTCCCCCAAATACAGGGTGAGGCAAAAGTAGGTTTACAGTTGTTTGTATGGAAAATAGTACAATAAATAAGAATACAAGAATAAACTGTGTTTCATGTAATCCCAACTGTAAACTTACTTTTGCTCCACCCTGTATGTCCATGACTAACCCCCAAAGTAAAAAAAGAATTATCTAACAAATATTTTGATGGTCTCTTCTGTCGCCAGCACTGTGAGTTTGCAAAGCAAAGCAATGCAAAAGACAGATTCTATACTCAAAACAATTTGTTTTCTGAAAAATGTGTAACAAAAGGAAAGGATAACAAGATACCTTACACAGATACATGTATCAAAACGTTCCTCTATCCCCTTCAAGGTCTACATTTACCAACACAAATATAGATGTGAAAACTGAAATGACGACACTTTTTTTTTTTCTTATGGAGCGTAGCCCTGCTGCTTTTCCTTTTATTCACATTGAATTGGCTACCTCAAAAAATATGTTAAATTTGGTAAAGTTAAATTTTACAAATAATTTGATCATGTTAAACTTAAAACTTAATCTAATGATTCCATTAAGAAATGAAAGAGAAAGCCCCAGAATGGAAGAAAAGATTTTAAATATACATATTAATACCAAGCATATAGAAATGACACTTAGAAATCAATAATAAAATGACAACCTATGAGAAAAATGGGCAAGAGACTTGATCAAGCATTTCACATAAGGAGTAGACTCTTGCTAGGTGAAAGTCGAATGTCTGGATAAGAAACAAACACTCAGCAGGTGTGGCTCAGCAGTTGAGCATTGACTATGAGCCAGGAGATCACGGTTTGATTCCCGGCCAGGGCTCATGCCTGGGTTGCAGGCTTATTCCCCAGTAAGGGGCGTGCAGGAAACAGCTGATCAATGACTCTCATCATTGCTGTTTCTCTCTCTCTCTCTCTCTC